GTTGACCAGAATATTACTATTTGTCAAACAAGTTGGTGTTTGTTCTATCCATTTGATTTGAATAGAGTTTGTTGGTGATTCATTAGCATAATATTTATTCCACCAATATTCAAAACATTGTTTGAAAGCATCGGTACTTTCTTCATCCATTAAACGTGGGCATGGCATGAATAATGTATGTTCTTTTGCTTGCTCACGTTGTTGCTTCAATTTTATTTGTTGTTCGACATCTTCTATGATACAACGACGTAAATGATAATATTTATTATTATTCAAACGTAAATCCCAGAATTTTTCTAGTATATTAAATTGTTGGTAAAAACGTTGAATACCAGAATGAATAAATTCTGATGTAAAACCAAATGTCACAAATGATACCTGAATATAAAGTAGTTCACTATGGAATTTTTCCACATCAGAACAGCATCGAACGGCTCGATATAGAACAGCATATAATTGTTTGGTGGTGTTTTCCGTTAGTTCATTGGATACATTTGGTAAAGTATCAACAATATTTGGATCGTAATAAACTTTACTTTCGAGAGTACCTTTGTTTGTATAGCTAATTTCCAAATCATGAAAATGGACTGTCGATCCAATAGATATTGTCGTGGCAATGAGAATATGCACAGTTCTAACAGTACTTTTATTGAACAATGTATAAAATTGATATTCGGATCCATGCCATATTAAGATTGCTTGTTCTCGATATCTATTCTCAGAGAAAGTTCAATAAAACATAAGTTATTATGATGGCAGAAAAACTTTTCTCTAAGTTTACCTGCCAAAAAATTCATTCTTTTTTGTGAAATTTTTCACTAGTTCACGATATTGTCCAAAAAATAAATAAGTATAAGCCAAGAATATAGTTAATGGTAAACCAGAAGCACCACCATGAATTTGTTGATACAATGCAGCATTATAAACATAGAATTGAGTTTTTAAAACAAGCTGTACTAATTGTAGGATGGTATCAACGGTAAGACCAGCTATTCTCTGATCTGGTAACTGTTCTCGAAGTAAATAGTTTAAGGCAATTATGGTTTCATCATGAGGAAAAATGTTGATCAAATCATCCAAATTGAATGTGACAAAAAGAATTGGAGATTGAAAGTGACCCATATGAGCATCATGTTCGATAGCATGGATAACATCAATAGCACCATTTGAAAATCGTTTGCAATTAGTTGCTCGATCAAAGATTGACCATAGAAGTGGAGTCATATAACAGACTATGTTTATTGTAGGCCCATTATTACAGACGAAGATTGGTCGAACTGGAATATTTTCCTAGATAGGTTTTTATGATAAATAAGAAGGAAGACAAGAGAACAAATCGATAGTCTACATACTTTTTGAGTTTCTGGCACAAAATACAGATAATGCATTCGAACCGAACTTCGAACAATAGTCATGATCATATGCTGTGCTTGATGGATACAATTTGAATCAAGTAAATCATCTAATATACGTTCAACTTGCTCAATCATTTCCACTAGACGTGTTTCACTGACATGACTATGAGCATCATCTAATGTATGTATCCATTTTTAAGCACCTGTTCGGTTCATATAATCGACTTCTTTTTGTTGAAAGTCTTTTTCAGAAGCAATATAAAATGAAGTGCCCTTGTATGGTAATCTGATAATAGCCTTCTTAGCAACTAATCTACGTCGGCTAGATAGGATAGTACGATTTTCTTCTTCAACCTGATGGCGTTCATATCCTTTTAAATGATTATAGTTTAGCTGACAAATAAAATTGGGTATATCATTCCAATCAAGATCTTTGAATTCTTCTGGCTCTTGATGATGAGAAGTTAACTGATTATCTTCGTCTTCACCATTGTTGTCATCATATAAAATCCATGTGTTATCATTATCTTCATCCATGGAAATCCATTCTTCATTGTTATCACTTTCATCTTCAAATATTATTTGGCATACGTGTCATTCTATTCTTCTCACGGTAGCTGTTCAGTTGCATAGATGTTAGATTCTAGATATTTTTCAAGTAATATGATTTCCATAAAAGAGCAGAAAAAAGCACTCTTACTTTTTGTTCTTGTCGAGAAACTGGCACTTGATTCGTATTAAACTCATTGCAATTTTGATTTTCGACATTCTGCTGTTGAAAAACTGTCTTCTTGGTATCATTACCATTGTCCTTGGTCATATCCATACCTTTCAACGAATAATTATTAGTTTGTCAAGACTTTCCTGAAAAAACAAAAGAAGCGACCCATGATGTAGTTACCTGATTGTTGTCAATAAATTTTCAATCTGTGAACGACAAATCAAGTGTTTCTGATAGAATGAAAAGAGAGATTATATCGATCTTGAAGAATAAAAATATGAACCATTTTCTCTCAAATCTGAGTCCATCTAGTTTGAATGGATGGAACTAGGCAGAAAGGAAAAATATAGAAGAAAATTATAGAAAGTGGATGATAGAAAAGAAAAAATATCGAATGGAAAAATCTCGAAGCGGACGTATTGAATGAGGAGAAATGTAGAAAAAAAATATCTATATGAGACATAAAATTCATCAACTTGTGGCAAATTTTATTTAGAGAAAGAAAAGAACAATAAATAATATCTAACATATAGTTTAAATGTCATCACATAGAGATTAATAATTCTTTATTTTTTTTTTTGATTTGCTATTTTTAGCAACTACAAATAATAAGCCTTCCAATAATTCATCGGGTGACACTTCCTTGTTCTCATAACGAGCATATAAATTATCAATACGTTTTTGAATAGCTTGAGTTGTTTTCGTTTGTGGACGAGCTGCAAGACTACCTTTCATTTGAATAAGCAAATGATTAAATCTGTTTTCTTCACCTTGTATACATCTGATGAAT